GACGGAATTACAGGCATGTGCTACCACGCCCGGCTGATTTTTTGATTTACTGTAGAGATGAGGTCTCTCTCCCAGGCGGATCTCGAACCCGCTGGCTCAGGCAATCCACTTACCTCAGCCTTCCAAAGGCACGGGATTACAGGCTGAGCCACCGAGCCCAGCTCCTTTCGAGGATTTAACTACCTTGCTTGTGTATGTACATGCCTAGAGCTCTCCACCTTTAAGGGCCTTTCAGGACAGGTATGCCATTAATCTTTGTGTTGATTCTAGATACCATCTTTGTGAATGTTTGTTTCTTCTATTTTTAACTTTGAATCTTCTGTTCTAGCAGAGGAGCAAGGCTGGGATGACCAAATGTCCTGTTTTTCTCCTGGGGCTTTTCCTGGTTAAGTTCCCTTCTTTTGTTTGTGATGCCTAGAAATCCTTCTGGGATGGCAATCTGTGATGAAGCTAATTCAATCAGCCCTGTGCCTTTGAAATTGTGTGACTTAAGCCTCTTCGGGAATCCCTGTAGTTAAGATTAAGCCACCACAGAGAAAATGACCTCCGGCTCCAAAGTAGGGGGCCAGTTTACATGGATTTAAGAGACCCTATCAAAGTGAGGCGTGGCCTTTGTGGCAGTCCACTGTTTTCCTAAGGGTCTGAGGAACTGCTGGCCTCCTTTCTCCGAGGCCCTTTCATCTTAGCCCTCAGTGCAGATATTAATAAATCTGCCCAGAATGAGATTTTGAAAGCTTTTCAGGCTCACGGTGATGATGATGATCTTATGAAGGGGTCCCTTTTGTTGGTCTGGCTCTGTCTTCTGTCTCCAGACCCTGAATGTTTTAGCCCTAGGCTGCTGGCCTTTTTACAGGGATAGAATTTAAAAGCGCCTCCTCCTCCCCTCTGTACCACTGGATCAGTTTGAAACCATGCGGTTCGTTATAACCCTACTTTGTGCTTTTCTCTTTCTCCTTTCTTGTGTCATTAAGGTTCATGTCTGTCTCTCCTGTTACACCTTTAACGGCAAGGACTATGACAGATGATTTTTTTGGTCTCTTCCTCATTAGCTCACACAATTCTTGGCTCATTATAGGCACCTAAATACTGTCACAAAAAAAAGTGAATTAATAATGTGTACCACGTTTAGCTGTTTCTTTTCTTTTCTTTTCTTTGAGTCAGGGCCTCACTCTGTTGCCCAGTGGCATGATCACTCACCTTAGCCTCGACCTCTTGGGCTCAGGCGACCCTTCCGTCTCACCTTTCCGAGTAGCTGGGACTACAGGCACAAACTACCACACCCAACTAATTTTTTTTAAAACCATATTTTTTATTTTAAAATTGTGGGATACAGTTAAGGGTTAGGCATACAAATATGCATCATTCAGGCACCCTTGTTGATAAGGAGTATTCCCTCTGTCCCCAGACAGATATTGACTACCATTCCCTGAAGAACTCAAATCACTCCAACTAATTTTTGATTGTTTTGTAGAAACAAGGTTTCACCGTGTTGCCCAGGCTGGTCTCGAACTCCTGGGCTCAAGCAATCCTCATGCCTCTGCCTCCCAAGTGCTTGGATTACGGGTGTGAGCCACCATGCCCAGCCACCATTTCTTGCACTTAACCATACATGCATAAATTTACTATATTATTAATTCATTTACTCAAAAAACACTGATTGAGTTGTACTGTATTAAGAGCTGAGGATACAAGAAGGAATAAGACAAGGGCATCCTCAAGGAACCCAGGGCTTATTTTATTTTATTTTATTTTTTGAGTCAGAGTCTCACTGTTACCCAGGCTGGAGTGCAGTGGCACGCTCATGGCCACTGCAGCCTCTACCTGCTGGGCTCAGGCAATCCTTCTGCTTCAGCCTTCCAAGTAGCTGGAACCACAGGCGAGTGCCACCACACCCGGCTAATTTATGTATTTGTTTGTTTGTTTATTGTAGAGATAAGGTCTCATCAAGTTGCCCAGGCTGGTCTTGAAGACCCAGGTTTAGGCAATCCTTGTGCCTCTGCCTTCCAAAGTGCTTGGATTACAGGCATGAACTACCATACCTGGCACCCTGGCTTATTATATAGGTAGTTGATTTCTTCCTTGTCTTAAGAAACCATGGGCAATTAAGGTCCTCATGTGGGTGAATGATCCACCCTGACATTTTTCTGTTGAGTGTGCGTACCTGTATCCTGCCTGAATTGCATACCTCCTTCAGTCTGTCCCAGGTAGCCAGAGGATCACATGGCTGCAAATACTTGATGCTCTAGTCTTTGTGGAGTGATTTATCAGTCATGGGCTGCAGCAGCACTTGTAAAACCATCTCAAATGCTGAAAGGACAGCCGATTTCATCCAGCACACAGCACATATCTCTTGCTGTGAGTTTTAGATTATTTTAGAGGGCAGAAGACCCTTCAACAACTACAAGAAGCAGAATCACATTTGTTAGTTTTAAGACATATTTATGGCATATGGCTGGCCACTTCCTAGGTTTTCACTATTATCAGCCTGCGGATTTTCAGGCTAACTTGACATTGGGAGAAATGGTTCTATTTCTTGTCTAAAATACTGGAAGTCAAATGGATTTATTTTTGATAACTTTTACTGATGTAATGACTTGACATAAAATAAAGACTCTGTTCCAGAGACTGTGAATTACGGCCCATGTAAATTTGACGTTGCAGT